GAGGCTATCAATCTCCACCTTGCATATGCGGCTCGGTACCTTTGGCATCGCTTTCTGCCAATACTTTGGCGGATAGTCTGGGAGTTTCTCCAAAGTATAAGCAGCAGGAGTGAGTGATTTTATAGCTAATTTTCAATATCGAGGTTAAATTAGTGCCTCCGTGGTGCGTACAACATCTGCGCGCAGATATTGGCCATGGAGCGCGTGTATAAGCACCGTCCGCCCAAATAAAGGTTGATAAGATTTTGGATTTATACAACAGCGGAGGCCCCAACTGAGTAATCGCCCAAATCCCTGCGCAAAAGATGAATCCCGAAGCGAGAAAAGGGCTCCAGAAGCTTGAAGCGGACCAGGTCGCTCCGCCCATTAACGCGGGTGGTGTGAAGATAATGAGCTCGAAAGCAGGCTTCAGTGTAGATAGAAATGTCGAAACTAATAATCATAATGAAGGGAGGATTTATAACGACTATGGATACGTTGAAGCCCGGTCTTGGTCTTTTGGCCTTCAGAACACCCACGTTGATGGGCGGAGCCGTCTAGGCGCTTCTACCTTCTGAAGCGGTTTTCTCGCTTCAGAATTCACTTTTTGCAGCAGGAATTGAACGATTGGTTTACTAGGAGCTTTTCTATCACACAGCATCAAAATGTAGGAATCCTCGATTCGGGTGGACTTTGCCTTTGAGCTTTGCATCCCGCGGCCTTTTTACACGCAAATGTTGTCGGCGCCGCAAGTGCACTATTTTTACTATCGAATATACCGGATTATGGACATAAATGTATGCTTTGCTTACAATGAACTCCCTTTTTCAGCTCTGCACGATGGACTGCTGCTGCTCAGTTCTATCACAACTCAAGAGCTCATTCGCCTACCCAAGATGGCCAATTCAGCTTCCCCGATGTTTCTGCTGAGAACATGTGGATCAATCCACAACAGCTTGTTTCCAACTTTATCCAGAAGAACACAGCCATCAGGTACTCAAACACTTAGAGGACATTTCAGCTAAATTTACAATGACATTTATCGAGTTTTTCAGGACACCACTTTCTCTGGAGGACATCGCTAACATGAATAGGAAGCGGCATGTCCAGGTATTGCTCTATCAGCATTTCTTATCTCTTTTCTTTCTTATCTGGTGATTGATTCTTTAACGCACCGAGCTTCATAAATCGTGCTCAATCGTCTTTTTTCTCGAAAACTAGCTTTTTTCGTCGGTTAGAAGCTCTTTTTACAAATTTTTTGCTAGTTTTTTAGCATCTATTTATTTCATTAAATTATGATTTTAGGAAGGAGGTATGATCCGCAGCGGTGGGGCTGATGGTCCATTGGAATTGGAAGCTATAGCTGCTGTTCATGAATTGTCCCATGAAGTGCAAGATATAAGTGTGTCAGAAATGCTACCAAGAACCAGTGATTTGATCTTTGTCAATGTGAAAACTCAAGAAGGTTAGTAGATAAAAACGTTTTATTTTTCCCTATCGATTTGTCAAATTTCAATTATTTAGGACAACCCTATACACTTGAACTAACCCTCAAAGGTTGGCGTATTGCTTCATCGCATACGGATTGCATGAATGGTGATTACA